CATGGGGTATTCGATACCCAATAACATGTGTTTTATAACCAAACTATATTATGTAATGCTCGCCATTTTCCACCACCAGTTTCCCCATATGGAAAAGTAGTTATCTTACATTCCCTCACCCGAAGACTCTCCGATAGACTGGGGTGGTATTACTTTCTTGATAGGCCTACGGGTTTGCTGTGTGCGAGACTTGTATTACACCCATTAATGGTATTTCCAACAAGTCTGGAGTCAGCGAATTGTGACCTGCTGCATATACATGTAGAAAGTGACAACCATCTCCCTTTAAAGGCCCACTGCACTACTTGCAGCTACTTGCGCCCTCTATATAACAAACAATGCCTAATCAGTGACCATTGCTCCCCCATGATCCTCTTTTTCTTATGTTAACTGAGAGCTGAGTTGATGAGATAACCACCTGTCCAGTGACCTTGCAGGGCAGTCTAATCCCTCCTATAAACTACGGCAGATAAGCTTTAACTCGTAAGTGGGACAATATCGCTTTTAAGGTTGTAGCATACTTTTTTTTGAAAACTGAAATTGCTAGACGACACAGAAATTACTAGTAGCAGTATAGTTTACGTATTATGGTTCTTACATGACCCGAAAAGCGTTGTGTATGCATTATGGTATAATTTCCCCCAGGGCCAGAGGCAATAATGTATAACGAAGGGCTGTAAAGCCTGTCATCATCAAGATTACAAAGTGTTACCCGGTGTTGCTGCTATATGAAAGCCAAAGTGTATTTTCATTTTCTTTTTCTTGTGTTTGAGATTTAATGACATTAAACCAACATTTTTTTTTAAATCTCGATCAGTATTGAGCCCAGTCAGCTCTGTGATAACCCAAGCCGCATCTTGATGTAAACAAAACATACTTAAAACACAATTTTGAGATCTTTTTAAACTGTCTTCATAACTACTCTGGTTGGATCTGTCTTGGTATAGAACAGCATCAATTCATCATTGACCTTTATAATATAACCTTTTTTTTTCTCTCTCAAAAAGAACCCCCTTACAACTTCTTTTATTTAATTGGCGTCTATCAAAAAACATAAGGAAGACGATTTTGTTTTGAATTAACGCAACTTGTGGTATGTTACAAATGTACACATTAAAACAAAAAATAACTTGACATTTGTAATAATTTTGTTGTGTGTGTGTGCCTAACGTCGCTCACGAAGGAACGCGTTGCTTTTCGGAAATTTTGGACAATAAATATTTGTTAATTGGCAGTAATGCATTGCACGATCGTTTTTCATATGTTTCTTAATAAAACATTCACAACTATACAGAGAAGGTCGAAGTAGATGGCATTGCACTGCTTGCCCCATTTCTATTTGTAGGGCGAGTAGTAAACATTGTGTAATAGAAAAACACCCATTCATTGTGACGTCATCATATATTCCTTCACGCTCCTTCTTCTCCGGGGCCTGGTTCGTAACTCCATCTGATGAATGACAGACATTGAATCAGTAATGCTTGTCCAATTTGAAGTCGTCATTCTATACGCCGGCCGGCCATCAGGGAGAGACTTCCCTGAAAAACCAAATCAGTATCATCTTACGAGTCGACTTAAAATAAATGTTCGTTGAACTTTCGACAATTTACTGGAATTAAGATGCCTCCACCCCTCCCCCTCTCTCCCTCTCTCTCTCTCTCTCTCTCTCTTGATTTATATCCCTTCTCACTTCATATCCCCCTCTCTCCATCGTCACATCCTTTCTATCTTTTCCCCTCCTTTCATCTCTCCATCCCCTTCTAACTTAACCCCCTTCTCTAACTCTCTCTCTCTCTCTCCATATATATATATATTATCTTTATCTTCTTCTTCTCTTGCTCTCTATCTTTCTCATTCTCTCTATCCATCTCTTCCTCTTCCCTACCCCCCTTCTCTCTCTCTTTCTCTCGTCACACCCTTTCTATCTTTCCCCCTATCTTCAACTCTCCATCCCCTCTAACTTAACCCTCCTTTTCTCACTCTCTCTCCGTCTTTCTCTCTCTTTTTTCTTCTTCAAACCCTTACTATCTCTCTCTCCTCCCTCCAACTCTTCCTCTACTCTAATACTCTTCCTCCCTTTCTCTCCCCTTGCTCTCTATGTGTTGGTCTACATGAACTTATAATACGGTTGTCGACTTGTCGTCACACGTGATAGTCATGAATCCTCTCTCTCTCTCTCTCTCTCACAATAACCGTATACCACAGTGTATACCACATGTCTCATTTCTGTTATATCTGTTTTCGTTTGATATCCGTGAAGAAAAAACGAGCAAACTGTTCAACATGTTCAAATGTATTGGTAGTTATCGCAAACATAAATGGCCGAATGCAGAAATTACAGATGTACGGATTATAAATTAAACAAGTCCAAAAGGAAAGAGTCATATTTTATTTCAAGCATATTGACTCATTTGGATGATTGCCAATTAATTGGACTTTGTGATAGTATAGCATGACTTGATTTTGGCGAAATGCCTTTAGAGCAGCAGGACAAAGCCAAAGGCTATAAAATATGGAATAAATTCCTCCCGAGAGAGAAGAGATACATACAATAAGCCTGTTGAAAAAGCCTATACTAATAAGCTCGCCGTCCCCATTCAAAGAGAAATAATGCAAGCTTTGTTGTATTAAAAAAAAACGTATATGAGCATCAACAATCTAACATTTTCGAATACATCATTGATCAATCAACTAATTAAGTGTTACAAGACTAAAAAATTGCTCCTCCAGATCTTCATACACGCATCGTTTTGTATTATTTCGTAGTATCGCTTACAACGCTGTGCTAGATACTAAGGAACGGTTAAAAGACGAATATAAGAATAGGCAAATAAATAAGAACAAAGGTTGTGATCACAATGTCCGCGGTTCGAGTCCCGCCGCAACACAAATGTCCTTTGGCAAGACTTTGATCTACATGTGGCACACTCGACCCATGTGTGGTTAATGGGTTTCTGGTAGGATTAACACTCGAAATGCACTGTGCGTTGATAACGGCTGCCGGAGCTACTATACAGTTAGGGCAATAATTTCCAAAGCTCTTTGAAACCGCATAGGGACGTAATGCATTATTGTTATATGCGCTCAGCAAGAATGTATTATTATTATTAAATCAAAGAGGCAGAATTGTGAAAGTTTGAATTAATATCGGACAGAAAATATAAAAAGATGAAGTTTTGAAATTTGTGATTACTACACCTATGGGAACTTTAAATTGGCTGAGTAGGTAATAATACTGTGACGTATAGCCGGTCAAATGTTTAGAGGACCTATATATGATAATCTGCTATCCATAATATAACTTGAGTAGTGCCCAGTATTAAGTAGGCATTAAGAGAACAATATAAATTGGTTATGTCATTGTATACGACAAACGATAGAATATTATTGTCCATTAATCCGTCACAAACCACTAACAAATTCCCAATTTGAAATTCGGCGCGTCAATTTAGAAATCTCATATATCTCTAACGGCCACGCCACGCCGTCTTCTATTATGATGAAATAATAGATTCGGGCTCCGAGTGAAATCAGGTTTTTGTATTGGTCCGCTAGCTATATGACTTTCACTCGGGGGTGGGTTAGTCTCAAATAGACCACTGTATCAGTGTATGATATTATATTATTAAAATATAAAATACAAAGAAACAAATCCAGAAATAAAGTGCTTGGACACGATTTGAATTACGATGTCACTTGGTAATTATTTAATTAATATGAATGACAAATCTCATCCATCAAATAAAAATAATATAAATAATACAATTTATATATAAATGTTGCAATGAATATAATTGCAAAGTATTCTTAAGAGTTAAAGGGCGACTTAATTCTTACTTAATTAGTTACAGTCTAATGGGGAAGGGAAGGGATAGGTTAATGGAAATGAAGTTAGTAATTATGGCCACTTAGCTCGCTGATATTTCGATCGCGGACTTGACTTGGAACGGGATGCGACTGGGACGAACTTGGACGCGACTTGGAGGAACTTGACTTGAAGGAACTTGACTTGAAGGAACTTGACTTGGCGGGAACAAAGCTGGACAGGATATGGCAGGAACGAAGCTGGACGTGACTTGGCGGGACTGGAACTTGACGGGTACGGGAACGAAGCTGGACGTGACTTTATACTATACTGGATACAGTTCTTTTATAGCGTGGAACAGACACTTTCCCAAATGACTTGAGCCGAAGTTGACATTGAGTTGACTTTAAAATACGGAAGGTGTATTTCAGAATTTCCTCAACCTCTCGAAGTGTCTACACTGTTACTCGCTGATATTTCTCCAAAGTCCAAATCTGGAAGTATGTTGTATACTGGATATTTGAAGCACTGATGATTATTAAAGATGTATTAGCAGGAGAAGGGTTTCGGATGAGGAGGTTCCAGGTGGGGGTTTCCAAGAGAGGGGGTTCCAAGTGATGGGGTTCCAAGTGAGGGGGGTTCCAAGTGAGGATTTCATGCAGGGGATGGGGGTTTTATACCTAATTACATATTCACAATCTCGATTCTGAGATCTCCTCCTACAAAATATTCTTACCCTAAACTTAACTATTTCATTATTATTACTGTAGGTGACTGGGCGGGCATAATACTCGATGGACACTCAAACAGTGTTCCTGAACCATTAATCCTAACATTATGATTGGGCAAAAGTAAAAATAAGGGGAAGGAGTAGAAAATACAAATGCTCATTGGTCAGTTGGGGATATTCCTGCTACTACTTTCTTTGGTGACTCAGCTCCTTTACCAAGAAAACAAATGTTCTGTCTTCCAACCCAAACTGGTATTTGGAGAGGGATAATTTATTTGCCTGTTTCCCACTATTTGCCTGTTCATAATCAGTCAACACAAACACTGGTTGAATATGGGCTTTGTCTACTAACATCCTATTCTTGGAATCTTTGGACCAGTGGAAAATGACCAGGTATCATCTCACTGTAGTTCGCTGACCTCAAGTAGGAAGAAAGATGATGAAATAGGAGAGGGAAAGCGGAAGAGAGAGAGAGAGAGGGTATCGTCTCACTGTAGTTTGCTGACCTCCAGTAGAGAGGATGATGCAATAAAAGAGAGAGAGAGATGCAATAAAAGAGAGAGAGAGAAAGAGAGAGGGGTGTGGGGGTTGCCTGGTTTAAAGGGAGATATCTCTACTTCGCTACATATCAAACATTCATAGGCCTAAATTTCTTATTATTGGCTCGATTTTCGTTCATTATATTTTGTTATTCTGTTTCTATAATTTTTCTGTTTTCATACAAATAAACTTATTGTGATGTTTGGATTGCCCTTCAAAACTGTATTTTACTTTAAAAACGACTTCAGCCTTCGGTACAGAGAAGAAATTATTATGGTCTTCTACCTTCAGTTCGCCTCACAGCGTAAGTGGCAGTGAACTCTATACGTATTCATTGAGGAAATATTTACGTAGTCTGATACATGTCGTAAAATTAAACTTCAATAATGGACGCTCAAGTGAAATTAGGACGCCAATTTATGGGTCATTCGACTATTTTTATAAACATTTCGTCAGATTTACTTCCACTCTACGAAGAGTTTGTTGTATCTAACGCCAAATTTGGTGAACCCTAATGATTTGCCCTGTAATGATTAAGCAGAAAAACAATCACAACGTCCCGATTCTAGATTGTATTTCAATATTTGGTCGAAACATTATCAAAGTTGTGAAACTACTCGTTATCTTTTGGGGGGCAAAAGTTTGCCAATTTTTATGGGCTGTTTTTAATCATTATTTGGCTTTCTATGTCAGGCGTTCCCCGAACCATTACACATTAAAAAAAATTGACACAGTACTTCTCTCTGTCTCCTTCCCCCTCTCTGTCTCTTTCCTTCTCTCTCTCTCTCTCTCTCTCTCTCTCTCTCTCTCTCTCTCTCTCTCTCTCTCTCTCTCCATCTCTCCCCCCCCCCCACCTCGCTCTCTCCATTCTTATTTTTCTCCCCGAGATTGACACGGCTCTTCCTTTCTTTGTACGCCGATTATGACCGTAGAGGAAGTTACAGAAGTGACCGCTAGATAGTGTTTCTGCGAAAATATAAAAGGCTATATCTGCGGGGATCAACTTTCGCTATCTGATTTCAAGAGTAAAATAAAAGCCTCTCTCCAGTTCGTCTTTTCTAATTAATTTCGAATCGGCGTCAAGTTGATCGAGAAGCTTTAGAAATGTGAATATAAAGAATAGATCTTAAAGAAAATATCTTGAAAGATTTCCAATCAATGAAAATATTTATTCTATTCTATATTTATAGTAGTTGGAGAGAGGGAGGGAATGACGGGGAAACAACTCTGTAGTGGGTAATGATTATAGACCGACAGAAGATAAACAGCTCAACTTTGGCACATACACCTTTTGGATGTACAAAAGAAAAGTTAACGAACCTGAAAAGGGTTTTTGAATTGCATACATAATTATGTGGACGGCATGAAAGAGAGAGAGAGAGAGAGAGAGAGAGGGGGGGGTTAGAGGGGAGAGAGAGAGGGGGAAAGGGAGGGAAAGAGAGAGAGAGAGAGAGAGAGAGAGAGAGAGAGAGAGGGGGAGATTCGATTTGTTTCAACTTTGCAAATGGGAGAGGTTGCTTGAACTTGATTTTCCACTTTCGGGGGAAGAGCAATCAAAGTACATGGAAACTTGAATTGTAATACATTGAATACACCCTTGAAAATAGAGTGAATCATCATGATGTTGTAATTGTAGTATAGGTTATTCAAACAACAGCAAATTAATAATATGAATAAACATTCATTGTGGAAATAAATTGCGGAAGACAGTTCATGTCTCCTCAAAACTGTTCTCGAATTTCGGGTGAAGATAGAACTTATTTGTATCGCAGATCGTAGCAGGAGTTAAAGTGAATAGTAATTGTATTTGCTGATATAGCGCCTTACACTTACGTTATCAGAAGTCTCTAAGCGCTGTACAATAATGCAGCATAATCACCATGGCTCAGCAGTGCAGCTGTCACGCTCTGCATGTCAAGGAATCAGGTCCCCATTTACTTGAATGTTAGAAAGACTACGGGAAGGTTAAAATCCTGCCATAAAAGTTGTTTTTAACACGTTCAGTAAAATAATAAAAACAGAAAATAAAGAAACTTGCATCATGGTCTTAATATCAAATCTTCATAGTACGTTGACCAATATTACGTTCATTTTGTATTCAGTCAATTTCGTCTCTGTTTATTTGCACGTTTGGTCAAAACAATCAACGCCAAAATAATTACATAAGGATTGTGAATCATTTTACGGTCAACGATACAGATTGACCATTGGATAGAGTCTCGTAAATAGTTCAATTATAAGAAAATGCATACAAAATCAACCTTTAATCCGAGTATTCTGTCATTCGGAAAGCACGATTTGCATTTATTCGGGAGAGGACCGTTGCCGTTATTCAACATCACCAAATCTAATTGATTATTGTCCAGCTTGGTAATTAGGGGCACGTTGTGCTTAATGAAGCTGCAAAGTAAGTTGTCCGGAGTTGGACCAGCCATGTAAATTTGCCTGTTGGCTTTCTAAAAGCGTTGCTGGTTGTTTAACTTTCGCAAGCTTGGTTGCATGCTTTTACACCCGGTCTAACAAAATAATGTAGGTGACCGCGGATATTTGTATGGTTGACGAGCGTTAAGCAATTCATGAAGTGATCGAATGTCGGAGGGTTCACGGCTTGCTACGACTGCTGGTAAACTATTTTGATAAAAGGTCAGGAACGTATAACATTAATCCCGTGTCTACTTCCCTCTGCCTTTATATTATGCCCGTTCTTGACTTTCTTTCTTTCTCTCTCTCTCTCTTCCTTTTTTCTTCTTTCCAGTTTTGTTGGTTACATCAGAGTTTTTTTTAATTTTTATAGTAATTGATTTTGTTGTATTTTCAAATCCTTATCAATTTCTTCCATCCTACTTTTCTCTCTCTCTTAAAAGTATGTTATAAAAGCGGACTTAATTTTGTTAAGGACATAGGAGTATTCTGCCCACCCCCTCCTCTCTCTCTCTCTCTCTATATTTTCCCTTTTCTCACACTCTCTCTATTCCTTTCTCTCTATATCTTTCTGTGTATCGCCTGTTTCTTTCTCTGCCTGCCTCACATCCACTGCTTTAATTAAGCTTCAGCTTGTAAAACCCCTCGTTGCCCCATCACATTATGAACCGGTCCCTATAACTAAGTAAACCGCGTCCTAGAATTTCATTGCCCCTTATCAGCTGGACAAGGTGGTTTTGTCAGTGCAGTCAGGGTGTCTGTGCGACCTGAATTTAAACCTAAATATTTCACTTAATTTAAAAACTGTGCCTAAGTTCGAAGCACGGACAACTGTGACCACTATTCAATTCAGTATTTATCTCATTAAAAGCAACATCCTATACCTTGGGAAGAAGGAAAACAAGTTTCTTGTTGATATCTGTCAATCATTGTAGATGTCAAAACGAACATCTTTCATGCATCGCCCCTTTGTTCGTTTGTCGAACACAATGTTCGCAAAAAGAGCGTATTTATTTCCTTAATATCTTGCAGCCCCAACCCCCTCCCAACCCGCCCCTTACGCCAAAGTCCAGCATAAATACAAATATGACTAGAAATGCAATCGTGTCACAACGATGTGCGTGCAATGACGCCGTGTTTCTACGTGTCGAACGAAATAGCTTCTCTCGGACTATCCAGAGCAATTTGTACGAAGTCTTTAGCTTCTGTAATATTGGAGACAGGTAGGGCGAAAGAAAGGCCTCAATAGTGACCTTGATGGGATGGTAGTGACTATGCCTACGATGTTTGAAAGAAATTGGGATAGGGGAAAGAACCTAGAAAGGGCTCGCAAGCACTGCGTGCAAAAACAAATGGGATTAGTTGCATGTTCGTCATTGCAATCAAGATCGTTCTAGGGATCAAAAGCGTGAACCCGATTTGCCCCATAGACAATGCGTGTAATGCATGGGCGGAAAACGTAGAGGATCTGTATTATGACCGGAGTTAAATTGTTTTTTCTCTCTCTCTTTATGTCTCTTTATGGGCCGTATATGGTATCATTGGAAAGAGAATTTCATGGTCGTTATTGTAAACTACTCTCTTTTTTTCTATGATAATCCTATCGAAACATGTGATGTAAAATAGATTTAAAGGACAAAATGGCGTCTTAAATGGCCCCCTTGACCAATTTCAAAAATCCGGCCACGAGGTGCCCTGCGTATTGCATCTCGGAATGTCATTGCAAATTTTCAAGGAAAAAAAAGGATGTTTAGGGGGCGAAAAGTAGTCTGAAAAAAATGACGTCATGGCCGATAAGTGTTATAATCGGGCGGAATTCGTATAGTGACCCTTGTTCAAATGCGATTTACTCACAATTTTCTGTGTAAACATATACCATACTTGGTATCATTCGAAAGGGCACTTCATTGCGGTCAGTTTGACACCATTGTCATCTGCACGCAATGTACTGCACGCATTAAAGGCGCTATTACGTAATGCATAGCAAATTCATCATTTTTGGCGATAACTTTGCGCTGACGTTAGTAAAATTTCCCGAATTTAGCAGACAGTTGTCACGTATATGGATACATGTGTCTGCCAAGTTTCAACGACGTAGGTATAAAGATCGCCATTTTAGAGCAAGTTGAAGTTATTTCGGAATTTTCTTGAAAATGGCGAATTTGGAGGGCAATTTTCTCAAATTTGGTCAGTGATAGGGTATATAATTTTGTATATGGCTGGAAAGGGCATATCGTCAAGTATCTACATGTAAATCCAAAAAAGGGTACGGGTTTGCCAAGCCATTATGGAGATACGGCCACAGAAAGAAAGCCAATTCCCAGAACTTTAGAGGGCGCTATTTATGTTTTGCATAGCCATTGGAGCATGAAATTTGGCATGGCTATGTGCAATTATGAGATTTAAACACAAAACGGAATTTATATGAGAAAGTTATGGCAGTTTTAGATTTTTAGGGGTTCATTTTTCAAGAATTTGAGAGATTTTTGACGGAGTCAGTTTCAGATTTAAATTTTGAGTACGAAGATGGCATTTTGAAGGTCAAGTCATACGTCGCAGATGAAAGAACATCTCTTTGATTTTCTAGAGGAATTTGTTAGAAGTTTGTAGGATCTA